AAAATGAATTAAAATCGTGCTACTTTTCTATGAGTTTCGCGAACGTACATTATCTGTAGGTATAAAACATTATGTAATGGATTTAACAGAAGGAGATAATTATTGCAATATACGTTAATATATACTGTAATATATAGTAATATATCGTTCTTTAAATTATTTTAGATGTGTAGTATAAATTTTGATATATATAAAAACTTTCTAACATTTTTAATTTTTTAATTAGATACAGGATTCATTAAAATTTTTACTTTATGGTTTATTATTCATTACTCTAAATATAATTTTTGTAAATTCAAAAACAATACACTTCGGAAGAACGTTCAAGTGAAAGCAATATCACTTGTCCCTTGTAGACCTCAAATCGATTTCTCTGCGGCTATTCACCCCTATAAAACATGCAACTGCAGAGGACTGTTAAGAAATAGTCGAAGGGGAATTTCCAATTCCAACTTGAAATCAGCCGTCTATTATTTCAGCTCCATATAAATTAATAAGAAACTTGAATGAAAAGAACGCAAAATTGATGAAGTAGTTTCCAGTCTCTAATTGAATTATAATTCACTATAATTAGCAATAGAATGTGATGCCAAACTGAAAAAAGTATTTTTATGGCTTATATAAGTAAGAAAGGAAATATCAAATATATGTTTCTTCTAATATATCGATAATATTTTAGAAAAAAATAATATTCTGAGCTAGATTCTGATTTGATAGATGTGAAATTTTCACAAATATATAATGTTAAAATAAATTTTTGAGTAGAAGTTGAATAAATCATTGAATGTCACTTCTCTGTATTTGAAATATTGAGAATCTTGTATATTTTAATTAAATATGTTAAGTTTACTTTTATATATGTAGGATCGGGGTGGGTGGATAGGCTAAAGTAATGTTGTGTTCTTTCTTAATATAATAAGCTTATACTTTTAGATATACTGACACACTATTAGAAACTCTTAGACTCTTGGAGACCGTGAAGGACTGTTAAAAGATCGCTAGAGACTGTCTTGACCGCGCCCTTGTACCCTTACTTAAACCATTTATTCTGTCATCTATACCCACGTTCTCTTTCTCAATCGGTCGGTCACGTATCCTAAACACTCAGGCGCATTCATAGACTTCCACTCGTTTATCGCATTCGGCTCTGTCATAAACATCCCTTACATTTGATCCTCTTGCACGCGGTCACTTTCTTTCCAAGCCCAAACACACTTAACATTCTTTCAGGGCTGTCCTTATATTTCATTCCCACATATATCTTCACAATGATACAAAGAGTACTTTGTTTAATAATAAATATTTTTGGTAGGAGTGTATATTGAAGACATTAAATATAATGTTATCAATTAAATCAGAGTAATATGTCTTTCAATTTCATACCAATATATTTATTTGTATTTGTCAAATGTTTATAATCAAATTTTTACTTTCTTTAGTCCACGATTTTTCTATTTCTTCATAAAAAGTGTATATTTTTGTATATCCTACTGAATTTGTTAATTAATATCATTCAAATCGTTCTCCAAGTTAAATTAATTAAATCGAAATAAAAATGTGACAAAACAAATCAAAACAATTCTCAGAAAACACATACAATTAACTCAATATTGAAACACTTGTCCTTTTTACTACATCTCACCAATAATTAAAATTTACCACACTCGTGAAACATTCATAACTAAAAAAGTTTTTATTTTCTGTACTATACTTTTTAATCACTACCATTTTTCAGACATTTTAATGCATTCAATCATTATCACATCAAAATAATTTCACTTCCAGACAATTAAATCAAAGTAACACGATGGAATAATTAGCACGATTCTCAGAAATCATTCAGAATTAACGCGAAACAAAAATACTCAGCCATCCCTTTGCGCGCTGCCTTTTAATTCGCCAAACATTCATGATCCCCGTCGACAAAGTCTAAAGAACAATCGCCTGTAATTTCTCTGTCGTTTTTCATAAACGAATGATGGTCGAGCACCGTGGACCGATGTTCAACAGATGCTACGTGAAAAGCAGGCGAAAAGTAAAAAGAAAATAAGCCACACTCGTTAAATCACCGCTACAAGAAGTCCCACTCCGACAGGCTCGAGCCATTACTGAGCTGCAAAAAGAAAGGCGGGAAGAAAGTTCAAAGGGACGCTTTGATTATCGGTACACACCAATGCTAATAACGGTCATTCAAAGGTGAAGAATCATCAGAACCCATTCCGACCTTTGCTAGTCGACCTGATTAGCTTTTCTGATTAACCCTTATATCGATGACCAAAATTGTCGACAAAGTTGTCCTACAGAGAATCAGAAAAGTATTTGCACAATATGTTACAAGAATATTATTGACTATTATTATTGATATTATGAAATATTATTGATTATATGAAGTACATTATACAAAATATTATTAATTACACAAAGTACTTATTATTAATTAAATTTTTAATCAATACTTCTTGGTATTATAAATCACACGAAATAAGCTATAAGAAATATTAATTACGCAAAGTAAATTATACAAAGTACTCATTAATTAAAATTTTTAATTATTACTTATTAAGACTATCAGTCGTACAAGAAAAATCATCCGCAGAAAATTATACGAAATATCATCACTGTCAAGATTACCTAAATTTAATTTTACAAATTTCTTTCACGTCACGTGAAAGACGTCATCACGTCATCAAAAATTTGCCCCGACCTACATATATGCCAAAACCGTTTCTTCCTCCTAGTACTGCAACAAAAGGGTTAATAAAGTTTCACAGACCCATTCGCGCGAAACAATTTCGCCAAACAATTTTAGTTATCGGATTTTTTTCGATAGATCACCCAAACAGGTTCGCTTTCATTTTGCCGGTTTCAATCCAGGCTACAGGGATATAGCGTTAAGTTCCTTTGTACCACCGTACTCCCAAGCGAGATTCATCTACGGCAGTCTAACGAGAAGGACGGAACAGACGTATTCCCGGCGAACGCTTCCTACCTCTTGTTCCGCCTATTTTCTGAATCATGCCGGATGAACCCCGCTAGCTACGAGTTGGCTCGTTTAACCTCTGACAAATTTCCTGAATAATTTACTCGTACGCCAACCGCGAGAACAGCGTTTTAAGCTTGTTGTGGCCAATTGGAGATCATCTACCGCGTCCCTGGATGTGTTCCTGGTGAGGCCAGTTTTCGAAATAAGGGACCAGCCGATCGTAGATTGCTTACGATCTTGATGGTATGCATTGGGTTACCATGAATGGCGGTTATAGGCGCGTTAATTGAGGGGATGATGGAGTTCGAGTGATACCAGTAGATGTGATTTTGAGGAACGTGGTAGGTAAACGGAACCTTTAAGGGATAATACACTGGATGTCTTGGATATCTTTCTAGTCTTTTGGTTCGAGTTTGTTGAGTCATTGTGTTTATGAAAAATATTTCTTGATACTTGTATTACATATTCAAAATTGGAATATTGTAAATTGTCTTTGTAATTAGGAAACGATCTTAGTTGATAATAAAACTAGAAATTATATAATGAAAAATTCTAGAAACATAAAAGCATTTGATACGGGATTTATTTTAACTCAAACCACTATCTTTGATGTACAATCTTTCTTTCACGGATCTATTAAGTGTAGAAGAAAGAGAGCTAATAAATTGACTGTTAAGTTTCCTTGAGTTTACTGAAGCGATAAAACGTAAATGGAAATCCAGCTGGAGATTTAAAAAAAATGAAATGAAGTAATAAACACGTTTTATGTTCATAATCTTTCCCTTAATGGATCTCTGTGTTACAGAACAGTTTTACCAAATGTAGTTTCCATTTCCCGGCTGGATTACTGAAAAATATGAAAAGTGTTAAATGAACGTTTCTTAACCATCCAATTTGAATAAAATATGAAAGGGATTATGTTTCTTACTGAAACATAAGTACCAGGATACTATACATTTTCTTGTTTATACCATCAAAACAACCCTTAAGAGCCAATCAGCAAATTTAATTAATATGAACATATCTTTACGAATAAACTAGAAGTTATATTCCGGTTATATATTTAAATTAATAAATATAAAATATAATAGCTGCACATCTATTTTCGAATAAGAATATTTATATAAAAAAAAATTACTTATTAAAGAAATAATATGTTTTACTCTTCCTATAATCACAACTTTAATTATTCTTTCTATACTAATTTCAAACAATTTGTATGCAATACCGTGACTACATTTGCATATTTCAAATAAATCTCTTCCTCTACATCATCCAACTTTCACCATACACTAGTTCGAATTTATGCACGAAGAAAAAAAGTTAATCACTCCCATACAGCCAATAAATCCAATGTCTTCGTGCACCTTCAATTCCCCAAGCGTTAATACAAACAAATAAGAAACGTAAAACAACAAATAATAAAGAGTAAATAAAAGTGTTTATTGTTGTCCAGTAAGACCCACAATTTCTTCACATTCAAACAATTAAACTCGTACATTAAACAAACCACACCAAAAAATCATTCATCCTCGTGTAATTAATAAACAGCTCCACAATTGCCTTCAAAATTAATAATACCAAAAAGTCTCTCTCTTTCTCTCTCCCTAAAAAAATAAATAAATAAATAAATAAATAAAAGAGAAAAGAGAAAGAAAAAAAACAAAGACCTAACAAAAAGTAGATGTTGTACAGCTAATACAATACGTGTAGTAAACAGATCTAGAACCCCGGTCGTTCTCTGATCGATCACCAGCATCGGCAGTTCGGAAATTTCGTTAGTAGCAATTCAAATTCAGTTGCAACGTCGTCGGATCATCGATTCCAAGGCAGCGAATTTTCTGTTTCCTGGACGTGATGCGGATGCGCAGAAAGTTTGACGTCAAACGTTCCCGCTGAACGGGCAGGACTTTTCCGGCTACCACGGATATTGATTTTCCGTAGGTTTCGAGGTTTCTAGAGCAGCTGTGCGCCACACCACGCGGGCGCAGATGCCATTTCAACATGGCTACCATCTCGTACGAATCCTCTCGCGTCGCGTTTCGACGCGGCCGCGACGGTACACGAGGATGCGGACGGTGCACGAGGAACACCAGGGAAAGGTTTAATTCACGGGCCTGATGTGGCGTTCCTGATCAATATGGCCGACGATACATGTGCCCCTGTCACGTGCTTCCTGATCCTCGCGTCGATCGCGATCGTCGATGGTAAGCCTTGCATCCAACCCTTCTTTTAATCTCTTCTTCGAAGCATAGAACATTGTGTCGTGTACCTGCCTGGGAATTGATAATTTGAAATAACTAGAGAGCTTTTAGGTAGAAAGTGGTTCATTGGGAGATAAGATTTCCTGTTTTAAATTCATGGTTTGATAGCTTTGATCGCGGTTGTCGGAACCTTGCATACAACCTTTTTCTGACCATTTGTGTTCTCTTTTTCGAAAGATAGGACGTTGTGTCATGTACTTGCCTGGGATTTGAAAATTTCGAATAACTGGAGAGTTTTTTAGGCAATAAGTCGCTCAATGGGAGATATGATTCCTTTTCTTTACTTTGTAAATTGTTTGATGATAGCGATCGAGATCGTTAATAGAGAGCTTTGCATGCAATTATCGTCTAACCACTTGTTCTGTTCTTTTCTTGAAAGAATAGGATGAAATATCACGTATTTGTTTGCAATTTGGAATTTGAGGAGCTTTTAAATTTCTTAATTTAAATCTTTTAATTTGTGATTTGATGGCGTCAATCGCGATCTTTAATGGTGAGTCTAGCACTTAACTATTGTTTGATCATTTGTTCTGTTTTTTTTTTTTTTTTTTTTTTTTTAATTTTTTTTTATTACAAAAATAGGATTTACTTTATACCTATTTTAGCTTCTGAATTATTGTATGTATAACAGAAGATTAGATATTTTATTACTAATTCGTAGTTTGACGATGTTAATCATAATCATCGATACTAAGCCAGACATCCAACGTCCTGTCTGACTAGCTTGGATCTTTTGGTTTTATCGTTTTCTGTGAAGAATAGGATTATTATATAGTATATTACGTTGGAAATTGATAACTTTTAATCAACAGAATTTTTAAGTTGTAGATTGGTCTTGGAAGAGATAAGATTGTTTGTTTTTAATTTGTGATTTGGCTTGGTTTATGAGAAGATTGACTGAGGGAAACTTGATTAACGTGGCTTTGAGAAAATGTTTGCGAGAACCAAATTTTGTCTATTTGTAGAACAGGTTCAGAGTGTACGTACTAGAGGAAACTGCACCTGTTGAAGCCTTTATTTTTAGGCACGGTGTTTATGTCGTGAATCATGTAAACAGTGATTATTGCACATGGCAATATGGATTGAATTTTATTTAATGATGTACTTAATAATACGTTTTATTTTTCTATTTCATATCTTTGAAGATTTTGTAGGCTTTTAGTGTTGACTTATTGACATTATAAATTTGTTACTTTTGTTTTTTTTTCTGAATAAGTATCGTTGTTCTTGATAAATTCAAACATTTTATCGAAATTTATTTTAAACAAATAAATTATCCTGAAAAGTGCAAAGGAAATATAGCAATCTGACGCAAATGTGCATTTCTTTTATTTGATCACGAACCAATTTATGTGACATAAATATAGAAAATTGTTAAAGAAGTTTTTAAATATATTTCTTCCAAAAATTCATAATTATCCTTTTATGGAAGTCAGCATTTTTTAAACATTTTTTAATATTATAAACACGTTTCTTGATTTTATGCATATTTCATTGCAATTACTTAAGAAACAGGAATAATTTAATAAAATAATTACTTTTACCTAATTAGTTTTAAATACTTTTGCCTGAAAACTAATATTCACAAATATTGTCAAAAGAATAATTTCTAAAATGTTAACAATTAGTATTGCTGTGTAACGATTTCTAGTAAAATGTACAACTAATTTACTGACATCAAAATCCATTTAAATCAATATCATAATAAAATAATTCAATAAATAATATCTAAAAAATTTTCTTTTTCGAATATAGGTATTTGATTTTGATTATTTTTCACTGACATGAACGTTTCTACATTTTCAAAATATATACCCATAGCAAACACCTTGTTTCCATATATAATCTTCATTTCACACGAACTTTCAAAAATTTCTAAAATTGAATACAATCATATTCTTTCATCCTTCAAAAAAACCCAAGCATTAAAAAGACAAAATGTTATTCTCTCTGCGTTCGTATATCCGATTTTCTCACACGATCTATCTAAATATGATCACGATTTTTACCAATGAACAGAGATATTTATCAGTTGCCTGTATTCGATTGTCAGGACAACTGTTGTCTACGGAACATCGAACTCAGGCAGCATCTGAACGAAAAAACGATTTATGGTGTTATCAGTGTGACACGATGGAAGATGGAGAGAGATGTTCCAATCTCACCGGAAATTACAGCGCTTTCCAGCACAAGTGCACTGGTGACAAAAGGACCTGCATGGTAATGACAAATGATAACACCGATTCAAACGCTTGTTGATTATACTGAGGGCACGCACGGGCTTCAACAGATGTTTGATATTCCATTTATCTCATGTTTTTACAGCAAACAGAACATGCTAGCAGCTAGCTCGAAGTTATCGTTAGTTCATTTACACAAGTCTATTAAAGATAAAGAAAATTCCATTTCGAGTGTAAGGTAATAGTATTTGAGCATGTTTTTACAGCAAACAGAACATGCTAGCAGCTAGCTCGAAGTTATCGTTAGTTATCATTTACACAAGTCTATTAAAGATAAAGAAAATTCCATTTCGAGTGTAAGGTAATAGTATTTGAGAATTCATAATTTTTATTCTATATGATTGTACTGTTAAAGTAAATATTAAATTGGTATTATTTATTACCGGATGTTATTCAGTGTCGATTTATTTAGTTAAACAGAAATAGAAGAAATTGAAAGTAGGAATGAGTTTCTTTCTTCATAATAATTTTGTTTAAAATTGGGGATTTTTATATAATTATTATAATATTTGCAAATTTTGTGTTCAATTTATTATATTGCATATTACATATTGAGTACAATCCTACATAAAAATTAATAAAAAATGTTTCCGCTATATTTACCATTTTTCAAATTATCCTTAATTGAATAATTCACATCAAAAGCAACCTTCACCAATTTTTTCAAGTTTCTAAGTAATTATCTGATATTAATAAGTAAAAGTAAGATTCACACCATTACGAAACGTGACGTATTTTCTGAATTTTGATACAAGGAAAAATTGAAGATGAAAAATCGATATAATCGACAAATGTAGTTTTTCATACTTTCCGATTATACAAATTTTATCCGCACTAAATAAACGAAATAACCAATTTGCCATTTTATGTACGACCCCTTCGTTTCAGGTAAAACGATTTTCGTACACTACTAGCACGGAAGATTCGACTTCTAGTCCTCAAACTTGGTCAATGGAGAGGAACTGTACCAGCAAATGCGAGCCCGGATGTATAGTGATCGGCGAACGTACAAAACTATCCGCTTGCACCACTTGCTGCGAACAATCGTTTTGCAATGTCGGTACCGGCGCTGCGAATGACTTGGCTATAAGAGGGATCGATCTGTTTCTATCTTTGATACTGCAAATTACGTTGATCGTCATCATGTATCCGTCCTGACATTGCGAGTAAAATGGTACTCGATCCTTTTGTAAATAAATTCAGTTCACCATATCCGATATAAAATTCTCATTTCGATGCGATTAAATCGATTTACGATTTTTGCCATTATATTTTGTAACATACGTTGTAATATACATAAGCGTGTTTCATTGTATAGCGAGTAGGAAATGTCTGGATTTTGTAAATATATCAAACGTCTACTTTCGATCGTGATTTATAATATAAATATTTGAGACTGGATTTCAAATAACGATGCAAGATTCGAAGATGGGATATAAAATGGTTTTGCTGTTATTGTTGTTTACATATCGTGTTTTTATGCAGATATAGATTAGTCTTGGAGTGATTTAAGAAGGAACGTTAATAGTATGAGGAGAAATATGGTGAATTTGATAATAATATGATTATTACTAATAATGATATGGCAGTGATTAATTATTGCTATGCTGTTTGATTAATTTATTGTAAATATAAGGATCAAAGATAATTCTATAAATATACTTATAATTCTTTAATTGTACATTTTGAAAAAGACGTCACTACATGGAAGAATATTTGTAATATGTAAAAATAATATATAGTTATGAAATATCGAATTTTAATTTACAACCGAGTAATCGCTAAGGTAAATAATTTCCAACATTTTACATTTTTTGATTAATTTCTACTTTAATTTCTAAGGGCTTCTACATTATTAAATTAGGTAAATAAAAAGTTGTTTATATCGTGTATAAACTATGTAAAATTTTAGAATAGCAAATTCTATTTAATCTTAGAAATATTATATCCAAGAGCTGTTATGTTGATAATTATTTATCAACATACTTACGAAACGTTTAAAATTCCTGCAGTAGTAAATTTTTCAGAATTTTTGCCACAGTATAATTCAATACATGGTCTTTATACATTTAAGTTGTATAAAATTACAAAATACTAAATTTTATTTAATAACCAATCTTTATAGTTACTAATATAATACTAGTATTATATAATATGCATAATACAAACATAATATTAACAATAATTGTAATTTAAAAATGCTATCAATTTTAATTCCTTATTCAACATTAGATTTAATTCCTAAGTATACGAAGAAAAATGATCGTGAATGCTAAATTATATACCAGCATGCAAAAGCGGAAGATGATACAAATGATACTAAAATTTCAGCGGGAAGAGGGAAATTAAAGTGCCCACCTCGTTTGCGTGGGATCAGGTATCCAAATTGATATGCTGGTATCTCTTCAACTGTCAGCACGTTTACAGCTGAAACCAATTAACATGGTTACACAACCTAAATGGAGGCATTCAGTTTAAACTCGTGCATTCTGTCGAACAGCATCCTGGAAATCCGCGTGTTATCGTTTTCGTAGAAGCCAAGAATGCTTTGATTGAACGTCAATCGGACTTACAATTAGCAGAGCTGAACATCGTACAATTATTAGCTTCTGGAGGATTCTACTAAAACGTTCAATTATTTGGTTGTAACTAGTCATCGTGTAACAAAGAAGCAGTATATTATTATTTTTCATCAAATCTAGACGTCATTTTGGACAATTATAAATCGAAAATAGATAAAATTTAAATTATGTAAAAATTACCAGAAGGGAATACTGCATGGTGTTTATTTAATTTATTATTACTTTCTATTAAACCTGTAAAATTTTATATTGTGTAAAATAAAAAAAATTTAGTATTGTAATTTTCGAAATTAAAACTTATAAAATTCATACATTTCTAAAATTTCAATTAAAAGCTAGTTATTCTAATAAAAAAAATAATTAATGCATTATTTTGTAGTAAAAATTATGATTAATATATCACTTTTAATTATATCTAGAAGAGTTGTTACTAAACAATTATTATTTAGAATATTTTGTCTTCAAATTAGAGTATTTTAAATTTGTATAAATTGCTCTGCAGATATGAGTAAATGAACGTGAGTTGTCATGTGACAACTGTTATGAAAACTAACTAAGGCAGAGCATGGAATAGGTCTCGTAGAAAACAAGATGTTATTGGCTTGTTAAGAGACAATGAAACTATTCTCGGAAAGAATTTAACACGATCATCGTCAAATATGATATTCCACCGAAAACACAGATTAATCTATTGTTTGCGTGGTGTTTTAATAGCAAAGCTATGAAACTGAACAAAATGACAGATGTAATAAATTTTGTTTTTACTGAAAATATGCAGCAGTCTTGGATAAAGTTAACATTCACGTTTATAGGAATTATTTGTTATATATAATATAAACGTAAATATATACATATATGTACCTACTTTCATTACATCACTTTAATCGTATATAACATTTATAATTAAAGGACCAGAACCAGCAGGATATAATTACTCAATTAAGAAGCATTAATTTTATTACTTGATATTGTAGATTATAATATATATTAGTATAGTAATATATTAATGAATAGTATTATATTAAACAGTGTAGTAGTAATAGAATAAAAATATTATATTATTATATAATATTATATTACGAAACTCTGATATATGGTATAGTAATGAAATAAATGTAATTTCTGTTAATTAAATCTGTCACTAAAATTAAAATTATCATTAGGTTTTATAACAGTTAACATACTGAATTCTGTGTTTCACATTTCTTTGTCTGATAGTTTTTTACAGCAATTTATAACAAACCATCGAAACGTAATTAATTTCCATTGATTGGATTCATCATATTCGTTATTAATTCGCAATTTAAAGTTTTCAATTCAAGGGAAAAAAGAAATAGTGCTGGTTTTATATTTCTAACTATAATTAATATCTACCAGACCCAATTGTGAATCTCGTATTTCTTTATTTCTTTTAAACCTTTTAATTTAAAATTCCCATCGAGATTGTCAAAGGTTTCCCAAACTACTTATTCGACAAAAAAAATTGTCGAGGTATATTTAATTCTTGTAGATTAGATATATGTCGTTCACGGTTAAAATTAGCGTTCGCGATTCAAGAAAGAGAAAGAAACGTGGCGGTTCTAATGTTAACTATAGTCTAAATTTAGCACACTTGACACTCCATTATCATGTGCCTTTACCTTTTACCACCTCCTCAATTTACAGAAAACCATTAAAACCGATTCAATTCTCGTTGATTAAAATTAATGTTCACTATTAAAGAGAAATAAGGAGTCATAGGTGTTTTAATATTGACTGTAGCCTATACCCAACTCTCTAGCTCACATCTCTTCATTTTTTTCAAATTTTCCAGTTGTAGAAAAATTATGGAAACAGATTCAATTTTCACCTTGTTTCTCAAGACTTACAGAGATTAAAGAGGAAGTGGGAATCGTGACGGTGCTGATGTTAATTACAGTCCTCAGTTAGAACACGCCACTCTCTGTCCCTCTCAATTCCTACAACTATAAAAAGACAATGAAAATAGATAACTTTCATCGATTAATTTCAGCTCTTTTGCAATTACGATTAGGATTCACCGAGATTTCAGTGAAAGTAAGAATGGTGGGGGTTCTGATTATATACATATAGGTACAGGTGTTCAATACTTAGCATACCCAACTCTCTACTTCATAATCCTTTGTATCTTCCAATCTTTCCAACTTACAGAGAATCAGAAAAACAAATTCAATTTCCATCTATTAGATGTACTTTATTTGAAATTAACATTGAGATTCCAAAGTGAAACGAAAGAAAAGATTATAGTGGTTCCAATTTTTACTGAAATTCGTACCTAGCACATCCAACTCCCTATCTCACATGCCCTTATTCCTTACAATTCTTTCAATTTACAAAAAGTAGTGAAAATTGATTCAATTTTAATCGATTAGATACACCTTATCTGTGATTAAGATTAAAATTTACGAATTAAGAAAGAAGAGAAATTATGACAGTCCTAATGTAGACTGTACACTACACCTAGCACAGCTAGACTCTTCATCACACAGTTCCCCATTTTCTCCAATCTTTCCAACTTACAGAAACCCAACAAAACATATTCAATTTTCATTCATTTGACTTGCCTTATTTTCAGTTAATACCAAAGTTTGCTGTTGACGAGAAATAATATACCATTACAGTTCTATAGTCTGTACCCAGCATATTCATTTCTTCATTTCACAACCCCTCATTTCTTTCACTCTTTCAAAACTAACAGAAACTCAATGAAACATATTTAATTCTCATCAATGAGACCTATTTTATTCGCAATTCAGATTAAAATTCCCAGTTGAAGGGAAAAAGTATATCTTTGTAGCTATAGTTTATATCCAGCATATCCAATTTTTCATTACACAATCCCTCATTCCTTCTACTCTATCTAACTCACAAAAAGCCGTCAAAACGTATTCAAATCTTATCTACGATATCTGTCTCATGTTGAAATATGAAAGTTCGGTGTCGAAGAGAAGGAAGCAACCAGAGGAGGCAAGGTTCGCGGCATGGAAGATAAAATCCTGAGGGGCCCCTGTTAAAGCAGCGCGCGTTGTCGGGGTCAAACAATGCGTTCGCCGGCATCCTCGTTTCTCGGTGATTGCACATAAAGCTGCCATTATTAGAACTTCAGTGGGCGGCAAGCGCTGGTGCTTTTTCCAGCCTCTCGTTCGCGCTTACTCTTACGCATAATTCGCCCATGCACTCGCGTGCGTTTCGAGCCGCGTTCTTGTGTCCATGTGGCTGCCAGTTGCAGCACGACGCTAGACGAACGTGCCATCCGGGATATCGCGCTACCAGATCAGGAGTCTATTCGCCGCTTCGTTCGTCGTTCTCGATTAGGTTGAAAAGAACGCGCGGGATTTCGACTCGAGGAATTCGCGCGGAACGTGGTCTCGTCGAAATTAGAAATTCGCGGCGACAATAGAATTACTTGAAATTCGCGACGAACGTTGAGTCCCAGTGGTAATTCGCGATTCGTAGCAGATATAAAGTTGTCGAAGGTGAAAATTCGAGACGTGGATAGATTAACTTAAAATTCGCGATGAACGTGCAAATTTGTGGTAATTTTTACGATAAATATAAGATTGTCAAAAGTAATAGTTCCAAGTATTGGTAGATTCGTTTAAAATTCGCGCCGAACACGGGCCTGTCGAGATTTCAGATCTATAGCGAACATAAATCCAAATAAAATTCGCAATGTACGTAGATTTGTGGTAACTCGTAATTTATGGTAAATATAAAATTGCCAAAAGTGGAAATTTGTATATTAATAGAATCACATGAATCGTGATGAATGTAAAACTGTCAAAAGTAGGAATTCGCTACAAATCAAAATTCGCGATAAACTCGTGGTAACTTACGATTCGTGATTAACATAAAACCATTAAAAGTGAAAATATTCGAAATTTCAAACTCGCAATGACTATGAACTTATTAAAAATTCATGAAGTACATATCTAATTCGAAATTCAAAATTCGCGATGACAGTAAATTCAATAAAAATTCCCAATGAACAATAAAAGTTCTACCAGATTTGTAGTTCATGATAATTGTAAATTCTCCAAAAACTTATGACAAACTGAAATTAAACAAAATTCGAACTTCTTAAAAATTATAATTCAACGTAAAATGCTAAACGAACGGAGAATTATGGAATATTTGAAGTTCTCGGACAGTAAAAATTGATGAAAAACTTCTGCCGAATCGATGGAACGCAAAATTCGTGACGAAATTGGTTGAACTTCGAAATTCGCTACAGTAATAGGTCGCTTAAGATTCGCGGGGAACATGGTCGAAAGTGGAAATTCGCGTGGTCGAAAGCACGCGGGAAGGCGTGCGATTGTTGCGATCGCTATTATCGCTCGCTCCACTTTTATATGCTGCGCTCACGACCGTTTTGTACGCTCGCGATCGTGTTACTAGCGGTGAATCGTTAATTGCTACGAGTTACTGTCGACGAGTTTGTCGAACGCGTGGAAAGCATTCGAGTTCTGTGAATTAGCTTTGCGAAACTAACAGCGAACGAAATCGATACTAGAAAGTGACGAATATTCTTTCCCGTGCAATTGTTCTGTGCCTTGTAACGTGTCACAGTGCGACGATTAATATAGCGACGCTTAATTCATGTAACAAACCGTGGTGATTTATTTGAAGAAATCGAGTGTCGATGTAACCAGTGAACATTGGATCGTGTCAGGCGTATTCCGTTATAAAGGAAACCGTAACTATGCCAGTGATTCGTTGCTACGTGTACATAAACTTCGATAACAAGCACCCAAGATGTTCGATTTCAAGAATATCGTAATTTTTACGTCGATCCTCTGTTGGGGTTTCAACAGGCAAAGAAGAAGGGATCGACACAGTTCCAGAAATAACTGACAATAATTGTTATGTAAAGGTTATCTATAAAACATCGTTTATTATGTATAAGGTTTTTACGAAAGATCGGTTCTATATCGGTTCTGCCATAGTTTTACTTCGAATATTATTTTGGAATTCATTTTTAATATTCAACTTCGTGTATTATACAAATGATATCGTTGCAGAAGTCAAAAAGAGCATTAAAGATATAAATATCGTGGCTTATTCCAACTTAAATAAAATACATTGCAAATGTCTTAAGCTTGGCATAATTTCACAAAACGTCATCTCTGGAAAACTATACCAATTGTCAGACTATACACTGACAATCTAACCATAAGGGTCCTATAATCTTTATCCTACTGACACTCTCTGTATCAAAGACAAGCTAGTCTAACTTAGAGCGAATTGAGGAAAACGAAGCTATCGTACACTTCATTAAAATTTCGTGTTTTTTAAAAGGGAATTCGATTCGGTCTACTAAACTCTAACCCTCTACTATCCTAACGACACTCTTCCTCGATCCGAATTATTTCCCAAGCCAATTGACCTAAAAATGGATATTGGAAATACGAACAAAGGATAAACAAAAGTGGCGACGCGATTGGACAAATGGGTTCGCGATTACTCAACCTGCGCCACGCACCCCGTACACAAGATAACCCCATGCTCTAGCACCCTCGCAGTTCGGTCCTTGACCGATTCGAATCACTGCCAACCTCGCCACGATTGACACGAGATCGAAGGTAACGTGGCCGAGGCAATCATTTCCGGGAACAAATCGAAAGTCCCGGACGAAGCCTTATGCGTGTCCGCGCTGTAGGACCCATACCCTGGTCATGTTCGTGATGATAAACAGGACGATCAGGACCAACAGACTCTCACCTTGACCCGGAAATGCCATTTGTTCGACGAAACAACCTTCGATCTCGCATCAGTCATGACGAGATTGACAATGACTCAAATCGGTCGAAGACTAATCGTCGAGGGTGCTTGAACATAGGGTTATTATGTGTATGCGATGCGTCGCGCAGGCTGGTCAATCCATCGAGTAACACTTTTGGAAGGAGTTTACAATGGACTTAATCTAGAATCTATTTTATAATTATTTAAAACTGAACCGCGTTTATGGTGTTCAATAATATCCTGTATCTGGAATATTTAGAGAAAAAGAGAATAAACATATAAGAAGAATAATAATTAAAAATATGGAGACCAAAGAAAATATTAATTTTGGAAACGTAATTTTGGAATGAGGAATAAAAGTGAATAGAAATGAGTTTTAGTGAAAATACCTCGTCTCCTATACAATGTATAAATAACGAAGTAATATTTCCTTCACTCTTTGCACAAAGAACAGCGAATATTAAATTGATTTCATGAAATTCCAAAATATTTCTGAATCATAAAAATAATTCAATAATTGTAATTGAAAATATTTTAAAAAATCTGTAAAAATCTATAAAATTAAAGAGATAATTAGAAATATTCCAAAATAATTCATTCGTAAAATAGTCGTAGTATAAATAATTAAAAAAATATTTAAAATGGTAGACTGAGACAGAACCGCCACAGAAATGATATTTCAAAATCTTCTGAAATCACGAGACCAAAATTCATATCTTCTCCAGTTTTAATCCTCCATGACAACTATAAGTAACCAACAATACTTTAAAATCCTTCCAACAAATAGGTACCGATGTTTCAAGAGTCCTCAGTCCTCTACGAAGTGACACGCAGCCAAATCCCAAACAACGAAATGAAATCTCATCCTTGAGTCTCCACCGCGACAACTGCATCAGCCAGCCGACAAGCATGTTCTTGGAGTTTCGAGCAACCAGAAAGTCCCATTGAAATTTTGTCGAAGCTCGAGTCATGACGCAATCGAAACTTCCCAGTTTTCTCCTCACCACATGGTTGCTCGGCACGATTGCGACCAAGTCTAGGATGAGCGATTTCCTGCAAAACCTGCAGGAGTACGAGATCGTTCACCCCAGAGTGATCTCGAATGAGAACGCGAGGGACAGAAGATCTGCCCAGGAGCGCGAAACTTTCCACGACCAGGAGTCTATATTCCTCGAGATCAGCAACTGGACTCTGAGAACCATCGCGAACGATCGACTGGTCCTGTCGTCGAATTTCAACGTGAACTGGGTGCAATCCGGCAAAACGAGGAAAGAAAGGTACGACGGGAAGATGAACTGTGACCTGAGACAGGGCAGCTTGGAAGGTGATGCAAATTCCTTGGTCGTGGTTACGATCTGCAGAGAGGAAGTGTACGCTCTGATGCTGACGGATCAGGGCTCGTTTTTCGTTCAGCCACTAACGGATGGCCAACACGTGATGTTCCAATTGAAACATGCCAGGTGGTGGTCGAACAGAGAGGAGCCGAATATCGTGTCCCTAAGCCCGGAAAATCCTGCAGGTCAGACGTTTATTAATGTAATAGCTGTTAATTTTTGCTAGATAGAGCTGTAGCCGTATATTTTCATTTTCGAATTTGTGTGCTAATACATTTGTGATGTATTTTGTAGTATCTTCAGGATTTTTGGGTGGGGGGGGGGGCAGCGCATCAAGGGGGGCAAAATATGTATCGTGATTTCTGGGATAACTATAATAGTGTTATATAAATTAATTTTCTAAAGTTAGGAATGTTATTTATTCTTAAAAGATTTATTTTTATACATTATATTCAATTATAATAATATGTAAGTATAAGTAGCTAATTTTTATTTTTTTATTTATTTCTTGTCATAAGAAAAAGTTGTGAAAATTAGTTGAAATTATTTTCACGTAGACAAAAGTCCATTTCTAGGCATGCTATCGATGAACCATTATTACGCGTAAAAATACTGAATTTTACGAAAAATTGTATTCAACTAGTGAAACGAATTCTGGTTTCATAAATCGTTTAAAACCTGGAAAATTGAATGGAATAGGATTAGTTGTACCTTGCGCGGTCACAACTTTATGTGCCTGCATAGCTCAAGTTGCATATACTCGGAAAATTCGTGCCACACAACTTTCAGTTCATAAACTAATTATTTGTTCCCTTAATTAAATTTCTGATCGTCGGAAGCAGTGGGATATTGTTATGTCGAAATCAAGGGATACTATATACAAAATGTTCAAATATCTGAAACGGGTATTTAAAATTCAGTTATAATATTGAAAATATATTAATATGAAATATTTTATGTTGGAATTAAACGACGTAAAATATGAAATGTTTAAATATTTCAAATAAGGATTTAAAATTTACTCGAAACGTTGAAATTGTTGCAAATATAATGAAAATATTTTCAAATTAAAATAAAAAAATATCAAGTAAAAAATATTTAAATACCTGAAACGAGAATATAAGATGTAAAATACTATTAACTTAATATTGTAAAACATTGAAAATGTTGATAATATAATTTATCCCCATGGAATATAGTTATAACGAAAGCAAAGGATATGCAAAATTTGGTTAAAAGAGTGAAAGTTACAAAGTACAACATTAAAATATATACAGTAAAAAAAATGAATGGTTCGGTTACAGAGAAATTGAAAAAGTTGGAAGTTAAGAGAAAACGTAAAAGGTCGAAACGACGGAAACGTGACTCGGTAAACCACCACGTTCAAGAATTTTACAATCTCTCTGGTGACGTCTTTGACGTGGAATATCCAGAAGCAGAGAAACTGATTCTGTACGATGAAAAAGACGACTTGTCTACGGAGTATAACGATACTGTCGTGGAAGAATTATCAATTGACGTGAATTCTGAGGAAATTGGATATTTTTCTGGTCCCAAATGGCAGAGAAACAAAGTACCAAGTAAGCTAAAAATATTTTCAAATGACACTCCTATATGCGTTCTATAATTAATGTTTTTATTTCGATTTGACTAGAAATAAATCGATTAGTATATTTCTAGGAAAAAGGCCAGGAGGTAAAGAATCACCGCCAAGGTGGCTGGAGCTTGGAATAGCTGCTGACTATTCAGTGATAGATTTCCATGGCAGTCGAGTACAACAATATATTTTGGCTCTCTTAAACATCGTAAGCAATATTAAAAATTAATAACAAATAAATCATCTAACGATAATTTATCCGTTTATAGGCTCAAGTCGTTAACTTCATTTAAACATATTTTTTAATTTTCGTGCCAAAGCATTTAATTGTTAATATTCTATTATATTTCTATAAGATTCTATTTCTCAATCATTTCAAGAAATTCACTTAAAATTTCTAGAAATTATTTATGTGATAAGGATATTAAAATCTAAGAATATTTTCAAATTCCTTATATTTAAAATAAATTTCTATTTTTCGTTTTGTGAAGTTAGCTCATTTGGCATATGCGCGATATTAATTATAATATTATACAAATGAATTTATATTCATTCTTCGTATAATAACAAGTCAGGTTTAAAAATCTTATTGTATTAGTTATTACTATTTCTTGTATCACAATATTTATTATTTCTTGACATAGTTATCTCTGAACATATTCTTCAATTCTAGGTAAGCGCAATCTATATGGATCCATCACTCAAGTCAAACATGAATCTAGTGATCGTACGAATGATCTTATATGCGGAAAAAAGGGACGGAATGGTAAGCAATTTAAAATTTACTTATCTATATTTCAACTATACATGAGTATTGTAGATACGAATCGTGGTGGCTCTAGTGAGTTGGATGTAAAATCGTCTTAAGGCTGCTTCGAAACGCTTATTTGTGAAAGGGTTGCATTTACTGAACTTAATAAATATAATAATTACATTAAATACATTGCAACTTAACTTTATCAAAAGCAGCTGCACATTTTTAACGATTTAAGAAAGAGAGAAATATCTAAAATGAAAAATAAAAAATTATTTTATACATTATACATTGAATTTTGACAAAATTCAAGTGTTCGTAAATCTCGAAGAAGTGAGGATTCACGACTCACGATGTATACAAAGTATCAAATGAATCTCAGGTTCGTCGTGGCGACGCCAGACGATCCCTCGAAAACGTGAACAGATGGAACAGGAAAATGTTGTCCTCGTCGGACGTAAATCACGATGTTGCTGTATGGCTGACGCGTTTGGATATAGGGGGACCTTCAGGATACGCACCTGTATCAGGTGTATGCGATCCTGCGAGATCATGTGCCTTAAATCGCGACGAGGGCTTGACCAGTGCTTTCATTATAGCGCACGAAGTCGCGCACATGTGAGTGTCGTACATGTTGTAATATTTTTTAGACTCTGCTGTAACATAAATTCCTCTTAGTGTCAGGCGTTTATCCGGAAAGACCTTTTCCTCGCTATATTACTATTATGCTCGTTAATTTTTTTTTTTTTTTAGTAAATACTCTATTATTGCCATAACATATGAAACTTTTAGAAATGAAAATATCTTCTTTATCTAATTTTTGAAATAGTGAGCATTTCGAGTGAATATGTAATGTAATTCACTATTGCATAAATTAGTTTCATAGAATTTTATGTATTCCTTATAACTATTCGTTACTTATTGTAGTTGATTAATTAATTAAAATCTGTTCAATAAAAGAAAATAAATAAACCTAAAATCGCACCTCCGTGAACCAAATGAACCAAAATTTAACTCAATAGTAAAATAGCTCGATGTAAACCACAATCACGATCATATTTCTTATTTACAACACGAACACCATGAATATAAAACAACAGTAATAATAATGAAAAGAAAAATAAGATAGCGCCACGAATTTCAAACGAAAGAATGATGTAGAGTAGCATAGGCGAGCAGCATTCGCGATATTTCGCTTTATCCAGTTTATTTTTAGGCAAATAATATTTTGATTACCCCTTAACGAGCATCTTCCGGCCCGCTCTTGAGCCACTTATTCCATCATAAATCACACGTGCGTACATACGCTAAGGTCCTTCGAGGTTGCTCGAAATTTCCTAAAAATTGTTTCTTTTGCTGGCGAACAACACCCAAACGTGTTCTCCCGTAGTCTAGGCCTGACTCACGACGGGGACGAGACGACCGGAAATGCTTGCAAGGAAGAGGGATCCCGCGGTAGCGTGATGGCTCCCATGGTGGCCGCGACGTTTCATCACTTTTATTGGTCCGCATGCTCCAAGAAGGAGTTCCATCGTAGAGTGAGGTGAGGATGCCCGTTTTACTCCTGGCAACGCCTTTTTTTAGAATTACATACTCCTAAAATAGGTATTTGCAGACGGTGGTCTTGTTTGTTGAACAAGCCGAGGCACGAGAGCTTCACGCAACTGAAAGCCACCGCACGCGACACGTTCACGATGGACGAGCAGTGTCGCATGGAATTCGGCGAGGGGTGGGTTTTCTTCTTCATTTATATTTAGTTTATTGAAGGGTAATGCGCTTTGAGTGTCGGATTGAGAATATGGACGCTTTTCTGTAATGGATATGAGATATTTTGGGAGATTCTGTAGTAGAGGTAGAGGAAATTTATGCGAGGTCTAGTGAATATTCAGATTTGATGAAATGTGGACTAAGTATTCAGCGGTTTAGTATTTGTTGATTTTATGGATATTGCATTTCATTATTGCTAATATTGTTATTTGGAAATTTTTATTTTTAGGAACTCAGAAAATTTAATAATTTGTTAATTTAGTAATTTAGTAATATTAGAAATTGTAAGAAGTTCGGTCATTTTTACAATCTTGGTAATTTTTATTTACTTAAATTTATTTTATTATTTTAATATATAAATGTTTATATATTTATTTACCCTTTATATTTTTATTTATATGGGGATGTTTTTTTGGGAGATTTTTATGATTTTAATAATTTTAATAGTTGTAGTATTATTGGTTAATTCTTACTGGTTAATTACGATTTCTGATCTCCAACTTGTGTTTATTGACGTAAAAATTTGTTTAAATAATCTCAATTTTATGTCCGTAAAATATACTATTAGTATTTCAGTATATGTACAATCAATTATTTAAGAACTATATAATTCTATTTTACATTTATGAACAATTCAACGATTGCATTGATAATAGAATTGCAACGGTTCTATGAGTTTTCAGTATAATCTATTTTATCATAAATGAAATACATGAAATGCACTAATTGTACTCCAATGCGTAGGCATTAATTTATGAACTATGCATTCGTAACTCAGTAGTTGGATTTTAAATTTAGTTACGAACATTGTAAAACTTTCGATGTCATGGAACCGTGCTCTCGTTTATGGTGTGGTAACAGCAATGTTTCTCAAACATGCAAAACCAAAAAGGGACCACCTTTGGAGGGCACACTATGCGGTATTTCAAAGGTAAATTTCAGACTTCATATTCGCGGTATACTAAAAACGAAACAAATATTCATGACAGTAATTAATTAAACTAGAAACTCATAATTAAACTTAGGAACTTATACTGTGATTAAAATTTTGTTTTCAAATTGATCACAGTAGCTTTCACGATTTCGCTACTTTCTTTCCTTTCCTTTTTTTAAATATATCAGCAATAGTGAGCTGCGCTATGAATAATTTTTTCAGTGGTGTACAAAGGGTCGATGTCAATCGACGAACAGACGAAACTTCGATTTTGGTATAATACTGAATAAACCTAGAGATGGAGGGTGGAGTGTGTGGAGTATCTGGGAGAAGTGTTCGAGGACTTGCGGTGTTGGTGTACAGTGTCGAAGTCGAAGGTGTAACAAACCTGTGTTAGTATTCAAATTATTTAACAGTAATACCTATAATTAAAATTTTTTAAGGAACTCACACCTTAAACTTTTTCTTATATAAAAATGTTTTTTGGCCGAAAATAATTATTTTACCAAATTTTTCATTTTAATAAAATGAAACGTGTAAGGAATATGACAGAAATTGAAACGCACTATTTCCAAATACATCTAGAGAATGACGTCACCCGTATAAATATTTGATTTTCAACTTTTCAACGTACATTTTTCGTTCCAAGGCCCGCCTACGGTGGAAAATATTGTTCAGGTCCCAGCGACGACTGCAGGCTATGCGATCTACCCAAGTGTTTAACCTCCATCGATCTCAGGGCTCAACAGTGTGCGAAACACGCCAATATTTTGTATCGCGAAAGAGTTCAATCCAGTAGAGACGTGACTTGGTTACCGTATGTGTCCGACCAGGAGAACTTGAAATGTCGATTGGTCTGCAGAAACAAAGAGACAGGCGAGATATTTTACACCAAGAAGCATTTGATCGATGGCACACCTTGCTCCTATGGATCCACGGATATATGTATACAGGTAACGCGGAATGTAGGAGACGACATTGAAAGTTGGAAACATTTTATATATTTATTACTTGTTAAAGGACGGTGTGAACTTTGCGACACGAACGAAACGTTTGATATGTTTTGATATTTCTTGATATTTCCCGAAATTCGACGACTTCCGTCGAGAGTCTTATTGGGTTTAAAATCTAGAGAAATGCATGGAATATTTTGAAATTCGAATTCTTTATTAAATCATATTTTATTTGGGATTCGAATATTTTAATTAATTATTTGCATTTTACTCTTCTTTTTAGAAAATGCATTGCTTCGTTAAAAGAGTTTCAATTAAATTTGCAATCTGCAGGAACATATGATACTCTTATTTAGAATTCGAATACTTAATTAACCATTTGCTTACCCACCCGCATTTCGAGAATTAATTATATGTTCCACTGTAGTATACTGGCTCATTAAAAACAGCGTTTCATTAAATTTGCAAAGTGGAAAAATATTTGATACTCCAAACATTTGAAATTTCTTATTATGTCGTATAATTAGGTTCATAATTTGAAGAATTTATACTTCTATTTAATTTGCTTTACTTAGAATTAATTTTTAATTAATTAACCTCTATCTTTTATAAGAATTAATTACAATTTCAACATATCATTTTGGATCATTGAATACAACCTATTAGAAATTTGCAAATCCAAAAACCATCCACTTCCCAAAATTCTAATTTTATATTTCAACACATTATATTGAATAACTGAAAAATTTGTACAAAATACAAATGCAAAAATATGTGTACATTACCTATAACGTGCTTAAAACGTGTACATTAAAATTTATTTTTCATACATTTTGTATATTATACATTTTTAATATATAATATATATAATATATAATAATTTCAAAATATGTGTACATCACATATGATATACAAGACAAACACAGTCGTAAATATGTTATTACTATTTATTGTGTCAATTTATTGATTTCAATTAATTGTTTGATTAATAGCAAATAATGTAAAATAATTTTGTTCGAATAAAGTATTAAACGTGTGTTCGTTACGTGAAACACATATGGCTACGAATAGACATGTGGATTAACTGACCTATGAATTACCTCTGATAGCACAGGGCATATGGTTTATCCGACTTTGACGGACAGACGACCGTGCTGGACGTAGACCACGCAATTTCGAACATAAATTTTACGTTTCAAGGAATTTCGAGAACAATTTGTTATTATATCCTTATATTATTATATCCTTAGGACAAAATAAAAATTCTATTTCTTATAATTTAATTCGACAGACAAGAAAAATATGTTTTCAATATAAAATTTTAAATATTATACTTTGTACTATTTTTTATCACAATCAAGATCACACTCATACTTGTCAGTAAAAAATATAATTATTCCTCGATTGAAAACGCATTTTTGAACTGACACGAAAAAATATTTTTTGATAACTCCTTTCTTAAAGAATTTTACATATAAATTATCTACTAAATTTTACTGGAAAAATGAAAATCTTTCGTATTGAAAAGTCACATTTTCCAATAGCTATCAATAATTTTTAAATATTATAAATTTGATATTCGACTCTAGATAATTTTCAGACCTTCGACGAATTTGAAGAAAAAAGTAAACTTTAAAATAATCCAGCGCTGTCGAACCTACAGATAAAAATACGAAGTAATTTATTCGCGAGGGAAATAGCTGGTTTAGAAACAAATAAATTTTTTCAAGGAGCAAAGTACATGTTCCAATAGGGAAGGCTAGAGCTTCGGAAATATTTGTAGTACATAGACATGAAGTATGCTTTTGTGGAGTGAGGATCAGCATCAGCATACTCGGTATTCCAATTATGTAAATCCCCATATGCTTCAACGTGTTCAAACATACAGATCACCGAATGCATCACGAATCAGACGTGTGTCGTTACAGCACGGTTTGCTGGAAACCTTGCGTCGAAATCGAACATTGATATTTACTGTTTCTCAGTATTGACATTAATATTTATACTTAAAACCTAGTAGAACATTTACAATTAAAATGTATTTTACATATGTCAAATGTATCAACTCGGTGCTATAATAATTATTAAATATAGGAAATATTTACACAGGAAGTTTTTAACTATTTATTAAAATAATTCGATAATAAATAATTTTTTCCGAAAAAGGTTTTCAATTATTTATTAAAATATTCAAATAATATTCTATAAAGGATATTATGTTTCATTGTTATAAATAATGTCACAGAATATTAAATAAGCTCCATAATTTAAAATTTAACCATGTTGCGTTTATTCTGGAGATATTAATATTATAAAACAGATTTCCGTAAAATCATCCCTTGTCACTTTACTCTTGGTTCACGACAATTTGTTGCAGCAGATACGATTTATCAAATATTTTACGCGATGCAGATTTAACAAATAATTACTTAAGACAATTTATGCGATATTAAATTTCATTACAATAAAAATAAAAGTATTCGTTTCATTTATCCACTGCTCTATTATTAATTATTCCTTATTAATTACTGCTTTTATCAATTATTCCACTGTTGCTTTTAATAAATTTTAAAAATATATTCAAATTTATATATATTTATATGCAATTTATTCATATATCGCATTTTAAAATTAAATAGATTTATATATATAATGTTATGACAAAAATTATATATGATATATTGGGAAAAGGATACTATTTCTCCGATTGACTTTTCAATCTTTTTAATCTTTTGTTTCCAACGTAATGTATCACGTTCTCTTATTTTACCTATTTTAGTACCTACTTCCTGTACCTACTTCCAGGAACAAATATACACATTTCTATAATTCACCAAATTTAGCAAAGTCGAGTGTCGATGCGAGAAAAAGTTTTCGTTCCGATAGCCAATAGCCATTTTCGAGGAAAAGGGCAGGCATGTGTGCAGTTTCATGCATTCCTAGTTTCCCTCGCACCCTCGAGCATCGTTAGACTTTGTTTTTAGTGTCTTCGTTGAAAACGTTTAAACGTTTTTCAGGTTGGCACTCGGATAAATCCGGCTCTGAGAATTCTTCAGCGTCGAGAATCGTGTAGTTCCTCGAAATGTTCGAATTAATAGCCTTGTCTCAGATAACAAATTAAATTCCAAATTTCTAATCCATGACAAGCTGCAATACCATGAAAAAGAATTTCCTCAACAATTTGTCCATTTATGAGACACTTATGTCAAATTCGATACACGGTATGGGCACATATTTTCTACATAAATAATTTCATATCAATAACGTTAAATTAATTAAGCACGAAATGAAGAACTAATACATTTCCACTTTAAAACAACTCCCAATTCAATTCAATTCCCAACAGAACCACATTAAAAATACCAATATAGAATCCAACAAAATGTAACAAGAGGTAAAGACACATTTTGCTCAGAACCAGTTTCACGCCTGCTATACAAACCTATCACGAAACAAAGGAAAAAGAACACTTCCACGATAAAACGCCCGAATAAAATTCCACTCACAACGTAAACAAAATTTCTTACCACCTCTCGCAGAGACACCATACACCCTGACGTGAAACCTAGCAACAAATGTACAATCCCTCGCGATATTCCCCGAGGTATCACTCTTGAAACCGCATCTCGATACATGAAACTTCACCCTGGAAACCGCGATTACTTATTCTAATAGACGAAATTTGATTATCAGGGTGAGTGCCATCGGATGGGATGCGACGAGGTGTTGGGGTCGAAGAAAGCGTTCGACGCGTGCGGGGTGTGCGACGGTGATAATTCGAGCTGCGAGAATGTCATCAGCAAGTTTCAACGGAAGCTACGACGAGGTCAGTCCAGTCACCGTACGAATTGAGTTATTAGAAGTGGCGATGAAGTTTCCATCAAAGTCGGATAGTCGTGCCAGCGAAGAGGGACGGTACGTCCCTAATTAGTTTAAAGGGGGAGAAATAGCGAGAGCCGAGTGATTAGTTGCTAGCTCCATCCGCTTGGAGGAATGAAACTCCGCGTCTTCATTTTTCTTCGATTTCGCGAGATAGAGGGCTGAGACGAGGGAGCGTCAAAGTCGCTGAAACTTTCGATGATCGCGAAACCACAGAGTAGACCAAAGTGGCTCCAAGTGTTTGCTGAAATTTTCATTATCGTACTTACGATATTTTTTCCGCATGCACCGAAGGTTGTTTTATTTTTGTTTTATTTATTTTACTTACGCAATTGCGCACGATAGTATACACATTTTGAAATGTGTGTCACGAAAGAATGAAAATCGTTTAGAGGGAAAAAATCGTTTTATAGTTAATTTATACAAAGCACAATATTTTTGTAAATAATGGAAAACAATATTTTTAAAAATATTTTATTGCAGCATCTTGTAGCTTGTAGAATTCAAAATAGATTTCAAAATAAATAAATTTATCTCAGAGATACAGATATTTCTCGAATAACATGTTATTTGAAGTAAGTACCTCGATAGTGCTTCGAATAACAGGGTGAAAATTACCATAACACTCGAATAAAATGATTCTCGAATCGCATTAAAGATCAAATAATAAGGTGAAGATAATATTGAGTTATGTATAAGTTATAACAATTTCTTGGTAATTAATTGCACTGTTAATTATTATCTTTATAAATATTATTATTTTATTTTAAAGAGGAATCCGACATTTAGAATATTAATTTTTATAAACACAATATCTTTTATTCCGTGAAGAAATTGAATAAGAATCACGTTACAAGCATGATCTTTTTCATGCGAAAAACATACTTAAATAAAAAAATGGAAAAATTGGTATATCAAAACTCATAAACAACATATTTTTATTATTTTTCCCTAAAATAATGAAACACGATTTATTTCAGTCCACGAAAATAAAAACTGTATGAGAAATGATATTCGTCTAAATTGTTTTTCAAACGTACATCGATAAAAAAATAATTTCAAATAATTTCTATCCTTCACCATATTTTTCAAAATATTTCCAATCCTCTTAACAAGACAAAACAACACGAAACAAGTTCTACCTACCTTAAGTAAACAATTTTCACACGTTCCAGCTTAAAATTATATTATCAATTACACGGTGCAGATAAAATTTAATTAGTCATCTATTTCATTTATGAATATTTCATTTTCAAAATTAATTTCCATAACATCATTCTTCTTTCAGAAGTGACACGCATTACTAAATTTCTATATTATTCCATAAATAGTTAATTAATTTCTATAACGCTATTCTATATTATATTCTATACGATAATATTCTATAATTATTTTAGATAATATTATTCTTTTTACAGAAGTGACACGCGTTGCCATAATACCGCGAGAGGCACACAATTTGTTCATGAACATCACGATAACCGCATCTCCGGTTTTCCATTTAGATAATTTGACGATCGTGATAGGAGACGGGAGACGAAGACGCAACGTGCAAGATAATTTAGCTTCTCGTAAGCGAGATTTAACGATCGTTCAAGGTGCTGCTTTTCGCGTTCAAACACGGAATAATAACACGTACTCCATAGAAGCAGATGGAACTACCTTCGAAGATGTCGTGATTTTGGTAAGAAATAGACCTCCGATATTTATCAGCAATATATGTTTATTGAAAAGACTATCTTTCTCTCTCTCCCTCCTTCCTTTTCTTTCTTTTTTTTTTGTAATTTAACATTAAATCTACTACGATCTAAAGGACAACGCGCGATTATTTTTCTCTCTCTCCTATTTTTCCTTTTCTTTATTTTTGGTTGATATATCTAGGATCGGTATTTGGGTGGATTGACTTAATACAGTATTGTTCGCTTCTTAACAGAATAAAATAAGCTTATAAATCGAATGAAGGCGACTGCCTCTGAAACAAGAGAGATTCGCTATGCACCCGCTTTTCTAATCTTTCTTAAAACTCTAATTGACTCTAGATTTTGACACACTGTCTTTAGACTGACAACTCTTACACTGAGAACAGACTGCAAAAAGACTGACTTAAAAACTCTTAAAAACTGACTCGCCCACGCCCTTGCACCCTTATTTAAATCATTCATTCTGTCCTCTTTCATACCCGGGATTTCTTTCCTAATCATGCCCTTTCTCACGCAACCACTCTGGATGCATCCCTAAACTTTCGCTCAACTCTATCATAAACATTCTTTGCAGTAAATCCCCTTGTATATGGTCACTTTTGTTCTAAGCCCAAACACTCTTGACATTCTTTCAGGGCCGTACTGACTCCAATGCTACATATAAATATATATATCAATCTCGTAAGACGACATTTAATTTTCGAAATTAGGCAGTATATTGGTACTTGTTGAAAGAAATGTTTAAATTTTTTAATATTGTTCTATTATGCTGTTATTATATAAGGAAATATTCCACTGAAAACAGAATACGTAATTAACTTTATTAAAGGTGCGAATAGCTTTGAGGAGAAAATTGTATAATGAAAGTGCTTATAACTTGTACAAAGAATTTCTCACCTATTATTATTTCCTGTTTTCCTTTAACGAGAATATTGCAAAGGAGATCGGTTTTTCTGAAAGGATGTTATCAAATATTAAATAAACTTGGAATTAAAATTATGTTATATTAAATTTAAATTTAAATTAAAATAAATATTAAAATTAAATTATATTAAATTATTCTAATGCTCTCTATTGCGTAGTAATGTTCAATCCTTTCTGAGATATTAGTATATACCTCTACATTTAATTCTATAATTATTCCTTATTCGAATACTTACGGTAGATAAAAGCAGAATTATGGCAATAAAAGTATCAATACCATTTCGAAATTAGCAGCAATTAGAAATTATCAAATATAACTAAGTAATAAATTAAATAATCTTTCTTTACATTAAAAAATTGCACTAGAAGTATTTAAATTCTATTTTTTGATATAACTTATTTACCAAAATATAAATCAGTATTAAGAAGATTATAACTGATAATTATACCATTATCTACAGCAAACCAAAGTTCACTAATTTCCTATATTGAAATACAATAGAATTAGATATAATTATAATTTAATATATAATATAACATAATTTATCATAGAAATTTACTATATCATATAATTTAATAAAATATAACATGGTAGATTAATAAATTCTTTAAATAAATCTGTTTAATTGCAATGAATGTGCAATATCATCATAACATTAATTTTTCGCGTTAATTCGGAATTAAAAATTCAGAAATTGAAGGTGTCCATGCCGCGAAAGAATTCCCCAGATTTCCAATTTCTCTGTTATCCGAATGCTCGTCGCAATACTTCACTGCAAGTCAATTTACGATACACGATTATTCCGCCCTTAATCGTGCAACGACTCTTGCGCTTTAATGTCGGCGATCTTACCTTCCACAGCTCGTGGTATCAGAAAACACAATAGAGCGTGGAATCTCAACCACGGTTTCCTTGAAATATTTCCTAAATCGCGATGAAAGGAATGTCAAGGATAGATACATGTGGCTGTTCGGCGGTTGGAGCTTTTGTTCGGCCAGCTGCGGTGGTGGAACGCGTCAGAAGATGATAGTCTGCAAGGACGAGCAAACCGGAAGGATAGTGTCGCGAAGAAAATGCCCCCTGACAACGAAACCCAGTCAGGAGATAAAGAAATGCAACGTCTTCAGGTACTGAAGCTCTTCCAGCCACCTCTCATATTTTTGGAACAGAGAAAAGCAATGAATTTTGTATTTGAATATATATATGTCATTATATATAGCACTATACGTATGTGTTATTTCTTACATCGTGGATATAAATGTGTATGAAAGCCCGAAAATTGGTAAATCTTAGGTGTTGTTGGCGAATTCGATTTACTTTTATTACCATCGAGAGCTTGTAAAATAGTGTACATACATTTCAATTTTTGGATTTTTGCCTAAGTATTTCAGCTCGTGTCAAGATTTACTAACACTAATTGATAAATAAAATATACATGCACAAAATACAGAGCAAACGCACTTGTTTGCCTAAAAGAAACTCGAATCAAGAAGATATAAGCGAAAGACTCAAATTGGTATGTCATTAATAATCTTGACGTTGATATGGTGTTAAAAATCAAATTAAATTAAAAGAAATCGAACTTTCAAGAATTAGTGCTGATAAATTTCACAATTATCGCACTCGAGCTTTGGTAAAACCCAAAGTTGAAGTGTTTGCAAGCTTTTCCGAGACTTTTACCACCTCACTATGGAAAATATACGATTTATCATTTTTTGGATTATCACAGTAACGAAATGTGTATATTGAAGTTTGATATATCGGTGTTTCGAAACTCGTCTTGTGAGGAAGGCTCTTCATAATTTATGGCAAAATCGATCAGCAGATGATTTATTACTGGTGATAGCAGATTGATAAAAAGGGAGATTTATATTCCATATATTAAAACAAAATGTGAGGAATTTGGATAATTAAATGTTCAATCATTGTACAGTCAATTGTTCTTCATAATTGAGGAATATATTAATCCCGATTATTTTGCAAGGTTTAAAAAGACATCCTTTCTGCAATATCTTTCAAGATTTTTCAAGTTTAAAATTTAGATATCGCGATATTATAATTTGGCACCATAACTGGTTCAATTATAAATATTTAAATTAGAAAATTCGTTAATACGTTTAATCATGAAATTTACATTTGATGAAAAATTTTCGCAATTTTGAACAGATATTTCGTAATTACGAAATTTGAAATTGTTAGTGGAGGTAAGTAACAAACATGACGAGTAGGATATTTTCTGATTGATTACAGTTGTACTTTCAAATGGCTACCAGGTCCGTGGGAAGCGTGTTCAACCACATGTGGAAGATTTGGTATGCAATTACGACAGCTGTACTGTGTTCATTCGGGGTTCAGTGGGACAGAGGTGACGAGGAATAACGAGTTGGAGGTATATCGAAAGATGGTGCAGCCAACGATATGTCAAATTAGCCATATGCCAACGAATACCAGAGAATGCAATAGAGTGCCCTGTCCTGGACGTTGGATCTTCACAGACTGGTCCTCGGTAAGCAAATATATAATAATTTCGACTTTCGGAATAGATGGACCATATTATAACGAATTCTCAATCAACAGAGGAATTAAATTCAATTTTTTCTCACGGTAAAATATAATTTTTTACGTACATGCATAAATCTGTGAACAGGTAATTGACAAAGGATCTAGAATCAAGTTTTCATCCCCTTTTTAATAAAACGTTATTTTGCAAATACAAGTTTATCTGTTAATTCAGAACCTAAAATCAATTTTCGATATGGAATATAATTTTGTTCGAAGCAATTATTTTTCACCTTTGGGAATTTTTTATAGATGCATTAATAACGCAGTTATGGCCTGTAACATTTGCGTGATCCGTCCTGCATAGTTAAGAATAACACTGTTCAACCCGAATATTAATCGCATATTCGCGGGATAGTTCTTATAGAACACCCTTTTCAGAAAAGGAATCTGTAAAAGAAATTGCTCTGTCATCCTCAGTTCCAGAAAAATGTGAGTTTTTATAGAAAGACACGATTTTTGAATAAAATAAAATATTACATAAAAAGTAAGAACGTGAGTAAGATTATTCTTGTCTTGCAAGTTAAGGAAGAGAATTTCGAGTATATAAATGTCCAAAATTATAATTATTTGTGCCCTTGAATAACCACAAATGCTAATCAAAGTATAAAAATCAGCCGCCAAACGTACTTTCTAAGCATTACTTTTGCGTTTTTACGAAACGTTCATTATCTGACATGAATTTTCTACACAGCATCGTATTCTGTAACCTTGTCTGATGAAGAAACAAAAGAACAAAATTGTCAGAACAGTTCTCAATTCGAGTAAATCGAAAAAATACTCACATATTATAAAAGCAATATCCTTGGGTATTTTCTAATATCATTTTTACACATATTATACTTCTAGTTTTATCCATTGCTTAATATTTTCATAAAGAGTTATCACGGTCGATGTTACGAAATTACGTACGCCATTAGATACTTATTAATAACAAAGCAATATGCATCAAATTATACTCGAAAATGCCATAAGAATGTCGTCTATAGTTTCAGCTTTGCAATGCAATTCTAAAAGTTTATGAGCTAATTACTGAAACTCAGTATTTGATCATTTTCCACTGCCGAATTAATTTATTGGGATAATAACCGATTCAAATTCAAGCGCCTTCGATCAGCGCCATCTATGATTTTGGACCAGATGACCAGAAAAGTAATAGGAATATAGAATAAGCAAGGAGGTCGTCTACACCTGGTCACGTGATAGACAAGGACAGCACGAGGTTAGAAAAAGATAGAATGTACACGGCAGGGAAGAATCACAAATCACCAAATTTCTGTAATTAATCTACGAACTTTCATAATTGCGTCGGAAAGCTGGAACAATTGACAATATTCCTATGTAAAATTCGATAACAATTTGTTGCTAATTAGCTTGCTTTTAATAATTATTTTATGGCGTTCATGATTTCGTAACATTGGCCGGGATAATGTTTCGAGAAAATATCAAATAATGCATAAATCTAGAAATAAAATGTGAACAAAAGTTACATGAGAAGATGCCCAAGGATATTCCCTTCATTATGAGTTCTTCCAGTTCATAAATTAATTGAATAAAAGATAGTAATTAATGAAAAACCAATGGCGTCTTCCACAACAATTTCATCACTCGGTAGAATAATAATTAATAATTAATTAATTAGGGACAAATTTATACCGAAAGTAACATGTGAAAGATCCTGAAGCATCTGCCTTTACGATGCAATTATAAAAGTACATAAATTAATTGCAGGAATTGAGTACTTAATAAATTGTCTAATAAAAATTCAAAAAGCAACAGTCAGCGCCACCTATGATATTGTGCTGAAACTAACGGAGCACAAGCTCCCAGATAAAAATGATAGGTGGCGCTGACCGTTGTTATTTGAATTCTAATTAGAAAATTAATTAATAACTCCATTTCTGCGATTAATTTATGAACTTTTATAATTTCATCGTAAAGGCGCAGCCTTGGCGAACTTTCCAATATAACTTTTGATATAAATTTGTTCCTATTTAATTAATTATTAATTATTATTCTACCGAATGTTTGAATTATTATCGAAGACGCCATTGGTATTTCATTAATTACTATCCTTTACGCAATTAATTTATGAAACTTTATGCACTCATTATAAAAATAATATTCTTGCGAATCTTCTCATATAACTTTTGATCACATTTTGATTCTAGTTTTGTTTAGTATTAAATATTTTCACGGAAGGTCGCGATGGTCGTCGTTACGAAATCATAGACGCCATCAAACGATAATTAATAACATACAATTTAGAGTTAAAGTCTTTACAAAGGTTATATAGGAATGTTGCCCGAAGTTCCAGCTTTGCAATGAAATTATAAAAGTTCATAAATTAATTACAGAAATTGAGTAATTTATTAACTTTTCTCTGTCGGAGCCCTTCTATCCTTTTCTATCCCCACTCTATCCTTGCCTGTCACGTGACAAGCTCTGCGACGACCTCCTCGCCTATTCTATATTCCTATCACTTTCGTGATTTTTGAGCCCAAATCATAGATGGCGCTGATCGAAGGCGCTTGAATTTGAATCGGTTATTATCCTAACAAATTAATTCGGCAGTGGAAAATTAACAAATCTTACGTTTCAGTAATTAATTCATGAATTTTTATAGTTGCATCGCAAAGCTGAAACTATAGGCAACATTCTTTTGTCATTTCCGAGAATAATTTGATGCTAATTAATTTGTTATTCATAATTAATTGAAGGTGTACGTGATTTCGTACCAACAACCATGATCTTTTGAGGAAATATTAAATATTGGACAAAACTAGAAGTACAATGTGAACAAAAATGTATGAGAAGATGCCCAAGGATATTCTTTTATAACGTGTGCATGGAATTTATGAATTGATTGTATAAAGGATAATAATTATTGTCAAACGATCAATGCCTTCGGTATCAGAAGAATAATTATTACAAAATAATTAATTAAAAAAGGAATTAATTTATCCAGAGTTACCAAAGGGGTCAAATGCATAAAAGAAATAAATATATACAATTACCTTCCTATCTGAATGAAATCAATAGTAACTTTTGATAGAACAACTATAAATTTGCAATATTTTATGCATGAGACCACTTTAGTAATTCTAGTATTGAAATGAACAAAACTCCTAGTACAAAGATTATGCTGTATCATTTATTCAATTATATTGTCAATACAAATCTTAATCTGTAATAGTCATTGCGTACTTCTTGCGGAGTTTACTTTCCTTGAAACGAATCTGCAAACAAAATTGCTCTATTACTCTTAGATGTCGAAGAACATTAGTTTCTCAAAAAACGTGTAACTCATATGTCAGATCCTGCCCCTACTCACTTTCCATATGTTGTTGTATTCATTGCTATTACAGAACTTTTACTCTGTAGATAAGTTTCAAAACATACAGCCTCCATCCACAATTTCCTTTCCATTTCAGTCCTACAGGAATGCTCGTGTTTTATTCAGTAATGTTCGATTAAGTCTTTCCATTCAGTTGAGGTGTATACAGTGTCGTATAATCTAGTATAATTACTATCTGTCTTCACCAATTCTTGAATTTTCGACTGGTAACCCCTCCTGCTTCCATTATCGCATCTAAATCTGTATGTTATTCCACTTTGCTCCTACTGCTGTAACATACTTATACAATTTTTGTCATGCATCAGTATTTGATTCCATAACAGAAATCCTCACAAAATTAGTAAAATCTAAGACTATCATCACATACCTATTTCTGTTCCATGTCTCCAGTTCCATAGGCCAACACATATATCAGAATGATTTTTTCCAAATAATTGGACTTCTTACATGTCCCACGTGGAGAGTATACGTCTTAAACCTCGTCTTTTCCTCTTAATCCTAGAAATTTTACTGATTTTTATTCTAATCTGCCACAGCTGTAACGTTTAATTTCTTTGTTACCATTGTTGTTTTTCCAACATACATATGCAAGATGTCTAATGGAATTGTACTTGAAACACCTCTTCTCTTGAGGTTTGAAGGCTGCAGACCTGCTTTTCCCCTTGCTTCCTTTGCAGTCAATTCAGTTTTGAGATTATCTATTCCCTTTTCTTATTTCTGCAATACAATTACAAGGCATTTGCAAATACACGTTCAAAAAACATACATAAGATTTTAGTTGTAAGCATTCTTTTTTCTATCTTACTGAACAATGCATGTAATTTGAAAACTTACCGGACTGACACGCAATGTGTATTATAATATCACGTTCAAATTTATATTTATACATGAAAAATTCCTTTGTAACGGAATATCTTTTCTGTTATTATCCTTATCATAGATATTGTTGAATTTTACCCATATTTCATGACTTGATGTACATGTTGGTACCTCAATTAATAAGATCTCCTCTCTGGTTGAAACTATCAGATTTTGTACCTACACATTGTTTGTTAACCAATCGTGTTTGTACTTTTCTATATTTCTTGGTTCTTTCATTGAACGTTCATATAAACTTTGAGATTACAGCATGAAGATCACTATAAATTTCTAAAATTGATATCCATCTTGACCCTTTCATCCATTGACACTTCCAATTTCCTTCTCGAATTTTGTTCTACGCATTCAAATACGTGGCCTACGTTCTGTTGGCATTACATAACCAGTTGATTTATTCTTTTGCTCAGATATGTACATTCCACACATGTTCCTCCTTATATTACTCACCCAAAGTCTAAATTCTTAATCCATCATAAGTTCCCTTGTCATCTCTATGTTGAATTTGTTCTTCCTCTCAGCAACTCCATTGTACTGTGGTATCTTGGATGGAATCAAATCATATTTTATTTCCTTTCGATGTAACCAAACCTGGAAGTATTGTTCCACAAACTCACCTCCATTGCCTGAGCATATGAGTACTTTTTAACTTCTTGACAGATGGATTTTCTTTTAATGCTGCCAATCTTTTTATTTCCTCAGCTGTCTGATCCTTTTCCTGTACATGCAAAACAATAGTCACTCGAATAATCATAGGCAGTCAAGACGTACCTTTTACCTCCTTTTGACATTGGTTCTATTGGCCCAATCAAGTCCATGTACCACATACCCATTAATACTGCTGCTTTTATTGTTTCCAAGTTTCTGTAGATATTTCTCCAGATTTTTGCCCAACTGCAATATTAAAACTCTATATTGAATTTATCTTTACTTTTCATAACTTTTACTAATTACTCGTTTTCCATTTTCTCAATGATATTTTCAATGAATTTGCATGACTTACAATTAGTCATCGATGCTACACACTTTTCTTTGTTAATCCATATGCGTCCTCGTTTATGTTTTGTGATCCATATAATATGCATTTCTTCTTCTTAATGTTTTCAATTGAACTAATCCATTTTCTGTATATAGATAAACTTCATCATTCTGAAACTTAACAGATTAGTGTTGGTCATTGCCTTTCATCACTGATATCAATATTTACTCAGATCAGGAACACAACATACCTTTCAATCTGAATGTAATCTCCATATCTCTCCATCTGACAAACCCATCTTAATTTCTCAATCCTTATTTCACCACCAAATATATCCGTCCTGCATGTCATATGGCAAGTAGGCCTAGAATCCAAAACATACGGTAACTTATACCATTATATTGCTGCGACAATCCTTCCTTGCTATAAAAAATTATTCTTACCACATTTTTCTCCTACTGCATGTGCCTATATATTTCAACAGAATATATTACTTATAGATCCAGGCTTTGCTGTCATTAATAAAATATACAAAAGGAATGGCTCATATCTTACACTATTTATTTGCGACTGAAGGTTATGTTAAAACAAACACAAAATCTTTTACATGATGCACGCACACCTCAACGGACACAACAATGGCTCCCATGTTTTAAAGCAATCTTTTACGCACTTCTGGAAAATAATGGGTCAACAAATTAACAAACAGTTTCTTCTATTTAGTGATAGGGAAGAAACTCAACCAAAAATCGAAGTTTAGAAAATCTAAGCCACGAGAGATAACGACGCAGCATGACCTGCAACGCCCTTCCACTTCCGGCACTGTATTTAGAAGAAAAAAGGCGAAAATCGAATAAAAACAACTTACTCTATTACAGAAGAGCCCGTTCTATCGAGTGATGATGAAAAATCAAAATTCAAAAACGATGTTCCAAAGAACTAAGCCACGAGAGATAACGTCGCACCACGACCTGTCACACGGGTCCACTTCCGGCACTGTATTTAGAAAAAAAACGGCGAAAATCGAATAAAAGCCACTGATTCTATTACAGAATGGCCCGTTCTATCGAGTGATGATCAAAAATCAAAATTCAAAAACGGTGTTTCAAAGAACTAAGCCACGAGAGATAACGTCGTACCACGACCTGTCACACGGGTCCACTTACGGCACTGTATACAAACAGTTTCTTCTATTTAGTGATAGGGAAGAAACTCAACCAAAAATCGAAGTTTAGAAAATCTAAGCCACGAGAGATAACGACGCAGCATGACCTGCAACGCCCTTCCACTTCCGGCACTGTATTTAGAAGAAAAAAGGCGAAAATCGAA